TGAGCATGCCCCACGCCGAGCGAAGGGTCTGACGAGTCGTTTGAGCAGGTATTTGTGTCGTGTCGCGTGCTTCGCACGCGGGTTGACCATTGCGGCATCGCCGAGTTCTTCGTGCGGCTTGCCGTTTGGCGCCTTCTTGCCCGCCTCCACCGCCTGGCAGGCAACATCGAGCGGGAGGCCGAGGCGGCGCTGAACTGTAATGCGCATCGCCCACGTCTCCATCTTCATATCATCCCGCATGGGGATCGCATTCAGGAAGGCGCCAGCCCCCTCCTGGCTGACTGCGACGAACCGAATCGCCTCGCGCCAGCACTTGTGGTTCTTGCACCTGCCAGTCTTGTAGCGGCCGCCCCGCCGGGATGCCTCGCTGACGAAGGCGTCGGCGAGGGCGAGCCAGTTGCGATGGTGTACGCCGACGGTGTACCGCCGCTGCGCCTGCTGTAAGAACTCGCTGGTAGACGAGAACTCCGAAAGATCCAGCAGCTCCGCCGCCGGCGTAAGTTTGGGCGGGTGGTAGCGGCGCCGTGGCACCGCCTTGGTCTCCTTGAAGGGCCCGACGACGTCTTGGTATAGCGTGCGCCCGTCCCACTCGCGCCAGGTCTTGCCGACCGCGTCGCGAACGGCGCGGAGGCGTTTGTGAGCCTCCCGAAGCTCGTCGAAGCGCTCTCCCGGCGCGAGGGCCACATCGAGGTCGCGGAATGGCTCGTGCAGCTCGCGTATCGGCCGCGTGACGAGGGCCCACGTGCCGACCCACGCTGCCTCACGGATGTCCATGGCACTGGTCAGGCCCATACCGCCCATCCTGACCGGAAGTCGGGCCTGCTGAACAGCGACCCGCCACCGTGGGCTGTTGCGTCCGACCCGCGCGCCACCCACGAGGGTGTAGAGCGCCTCCTCCATCAGGCGGTCGTGCTCGCGCGCGGCGTCCTGGGTCACCGACGGCGGCATAGTGCGAAGGAAGAAGGTGAGCGTGGTGTTGCTGCAGAAGCGGAGGAGCACCTGGGCGAGCTGCTGCGCGGTGTGGATCGTTTTGGTGTAGAGATTTCACGTTGTAGAGCGCCTCTACATCGCTCTACAACGCACCCGCCTCGTCACGCGGTGGATGTAGAGCTCTACAGCTCTACAGCACTCTCCAGCTCTACAGCTCTACAGCGCTCTACACTCTACATCCTCTACACCCTCCCTCAGGGAGGTGGAGGGCGACGGAGGCGTGAGCGGCGGCGGCGGCGGTGTGGGGGAGGTGGAGGGAGGCGGAGGCTCGGGCGAGGTGGGGGGCGGCTGCGGCGTGAGCGGCGGCGGCGGCGCGGTGTGGTGGAGGCGGAGGGCGGCGGAGGCGTGCGTGGGCGAGGTAGAGGGCGGTGGCGGCGTGAGCGGCGGCGGCGGCGGAGACACCGTACGTAGCCCGAGTCTGTTGAAACAAGGTTTTTGAGTTACAATTCACGTCGTTGGACCCATTCACCCAATCTTTGCCGCTTAACTTCGGAGCTAACAAAAAAAGAATCCAGCGGTGCTGGAGTCACTGCACCCCGGGGGTCAGCAACGACGGCATCACCCTGGCTGGGTGCATGCTCGAGCGAATCGCGCTGCTGCTGCTCTCGCTGCCCGTAGTCGCCGGATTCGCCCCCACCCCCTCGGTCTCCATCGACGACCTGTGCGAAACTCTCGTCAATTACGTCAACGACGGCTGCAGTTTGGACACGACGGGGCAGGACAAGAGAGTGTGCGTCGTCGAGCTGTCCCCCTTCTCCGGGAGCGATGGCGTGCTCAGCGCCTATGAGGCGGCGGCGGCGCTCGATTCGATCCCGGATCCCCTCGTTACGGCCCTTGGAGCAGTCGATGTTGGTGCGACTTGCCTGCGAGAACGCCTGCGAAGCACCATCAACGACGGGCGGCGGCTCGCTGAAGCGAATTACTTCTACCGTGTCGCCTTGAAGATCTTTGCTTGCTCACCAACTTATGTAATTTGGTCCCTCGGCATCGGGTCAGCATTTGGTCCCTCGGCATTTGGTCCATCCCCTGGTCCCGCGGCATTTGGTCCGTTTTTACGCGAAATGGTGATGCTGCTCGGGACGGATGGCGCAAGGAGTTTGTGCTGACTGTGGGCCTGCTCAATTAAGCGCCGGCCGCGGAAGTCGATTGCTTTTGGTTACTACGTGCCTCTCTCTCGTCTCTGTGTGTATACGTTTGTGACCTGTCCGTGCCACGTCTTGTGCCCCCACGAGTGTTTTGTAATCTGTGTGAGATGTGGTCTATGTGAGCTGCGCGTGCGTCACTTTGTACCTGTGTGACTGGTCGTGATTTCTTGTTGGTTATTCCTATCAAGGTTTCGCTCCCGGCGCTGTCCTGAGAAGGTGCGTGGTCCCTCTTGACTGCCCATCATGGCGCGCGAGGCTGTGTAGGCATAGCCTCGAGAGTGCCAGCAGCCAATCCGAGGCGACGCGCATTGCGCCAGAAGCGTGCACACGATGGAAGGGGACACCTTCATACTGGCCGTACAATCAGGTCGTCACTGAATGCTTGATACTAAGGCCGCGAGCTATATGCAGGTGATCACAATTGTGCAGCATGGCACGGTCAGCAGCGCCGACAGGCTGTCGCAAGGCAGGCGTGATAGCATGGCCGCAAGTACGCCGAATTCCCATGTCGTGACAGCTGACGGCGGGATTTCCACTGGTGTTTCGTCCTCCTCGGGGTCGTCTTCCCCGGCTTCCTTGCGTTCGGCGTGGCTCACCCTCCATGCAGTGAACACGAGGCGCTTTATCCACTCTATATTCTTCTCTCGTTCCTCTGCCCGTGCCTTGGTCTTGTCGTTTGTTTCGCACCCATGTCTGTATGGCAATCGAGGCTGCCTTCCCCACTACCTGTAGTTCACTCGTTACCTCTCCCGCGAGCTCCCCTCTCTTTCTTTCGGGTATGGAGTCTGTCAGTGCTGGCAGCGTGCAGGCAATCACGGGCGCTATTTTGTCGTACTCCCCTTCGGCGAGCGCTCCGAATCTAGACCCCATTGCCTTTAAGGAGGCTGCCCTCGCTCGTCTCAGGGATGTGGCGGTGTCTTTTGAGTCAGGCGCCGCAATCGACTCTTGCTGTTGCCCTCGCCGCGTGTTTGTCAGCTTCCGCATGAAGTGACGCGCCTCTTCCTTATTTCCAGCGCAGCTGCCGCTCAGTATGTGCGCCAACGACGCCTGTGGTGGCTCACTGTCTTCTTGTTTCCATTCTTCTCATTCTCCTTGGTGTCCCTGCGCTTTCTTTTTTCTTCTGTGCTTGGCTACGAGCCGCTCACGCCTACGATGGCGGCGACCGTGCTCTCTTACTTCTGGGAGCTCGCCTCGCTCGACGTGGACCGGCGAGTGAAAGCGGCCTCGAGCCTAATCGCCGCGCTGAATACCGCCCAGTCCGAGTTTGCCGCTACTAGCGCTGCCGGCGGCCAGCCGCTGTGCCCGGACCTCGAGTATGCCGTCCGCCGGCTCGTGCGCGGCCTCGCTTCGCCACGCGACGGCGCTCGGCAGGGCTTTGGCGCGGCGCTCATCGAGCTGTGCGCCGCCCTCGAGATCGTCACGCCGGAGCTCATCCTCGAGCAGATTGAGTCGACGCTGCAGCTCACCGGCGCTGCAAAGGGATCGGAGGTGCGCCGCCGCCTTTGCCGCCGCCGCGCGATGGGCCCGCATGCCGCACGCGCCCCTCCGCCCCTACCACGACCCCCGACCGCCGGGCTTCTCCCGCAGGAGCGCGACGTCCTCTTTGGCCGTCTCTTTGCCTGCTCTGCCCTCGTCCGGTCGCACCGGGTCGCGGCGCTGCCTGCGGAGCGGCAGTCGGCGACGGCCGCACGGCTGTCAGCGCTGCTGATCGCGGTGGGCGGCGCAAAGGCCTTCCTCCAGGAGCCGGCGGCCGCCGTCACTTGCGAGCTCATCCGGACCCTCGACCCATCCGTGGTCGAGGAGAGTGTGTGGCCGACGGTGGCGCCGCTGCTGCCGGTGCGCGCCCATCTCCGGCCACAGACCCGTCCATACCGTGCTCCGCTGGTCCACCCGCATCGCATCCGCCGTCCGCGTGCCCTCTCTCACCCACATGCTCCTCCGCCTTCACCTGCCCAGGCACCCCTAGTTGACACTCGCGGGCACGCACACACACACACGGACACACACACACCGCTCACCCACGCGCACCGGGCCTTGCACTTTCAACGCCGCGGGGCTCCCGTCTTTCTGGACGCGGAGTTGCGAGCCGTCGCCTTGCCCTTGCCCCACACCAGCATGTGCAGAGGTCGACTCGCGACGCTTGCCTTCCAACACACCACACAACACAACACACAACACACCACAACACACCACAACACACCACACACCACACACCACAACACAAGAAAACCATAGCCCCATTCACCGAGTGGTTTACAACCCTTCGCCCACTCAGGGCCCCCTCGCCGGCTGGTCCCCGCACGGCCTCATGCTGGCGCTCGCGCTGGTGACGCTTCCGAGAAGCTTCCGAATCACTGCCATCAGACCACC